GCCAGGGCTCTTTGAGAACACGGTCAGTAGATCCCTCACCTAAGTCCCCTCTGTCTGCTTCCATTACACATGGGCACCTGTGTTTTCACCATCGGGTGTCAGGTTCAAGGCCCCGTACGAAAGAAACATAACCAATATGTAGGGGGTTTGCTCGTGGTCTAGGAGGAAGGACAGAAAGACAGGAGAGTGCTGAGAGAAGTGAATGTCTCAGTTCCTAAATGTGGCTTTAGCAGGGAGTTTGGTCCGCCTCCACGGAGGCTTTTACTGGAACTCAAAGCAAGTGTGTGGTTCTCCTTTGAGGTTCACCTCCTCTCCTCTTCCCTTCTCAGTGCTTCCGAAGGGTGGTCCTGGGAGCTCCAGCTGCAGAATCATCAGCAGGATGGTGTCTAAATGCTGCTCACAGGTTCCAAGAACAGAAAGCGCTTGGAGGGCTGGGGGAGGAGGAGTCCGCAACCTGACAGCTTTCTGCTAACTACTGTGCACATGAAATTCTGGAGCCCCTCTTCTATTTATGTCAAAAAAGCTTAGAAGTTTAAAGAGAAAATTCTGCCAGTTGCAGTGCTGTACAAACAGGAGGTTTAAGTTATTTTATCCGACACCACTTTAGCATTGCTCTGTTTCTGGAGAGCAGTCTTTCTGCTTTGTCAGCTCATGGCTGTGACTGTGGCTCCATCCACTGCCTGGCAAATATTTATGGTGTTGAAGGGACCGCAGCCCTAGACCCCCGCCCACCGCCCAGCTTCCACTCGCGCTCCTCCACATGCATGTGCAGGGATGGAAAGCAAATCATCCACGTTCCTGCCTGACAGCGCCTCCACCTGGCTGTAGAATAAACCCCAAACCCCTTTCCTGGGACTCTGGTCAGCCCCACAGCCATATCCCACCCCACCTCGAGCCACAGGGTCTCCTTGCAGCTTCCACCGACACCAACCTCATTTCTCACTGAGGGTTTTGCTTAGCTTTCCCTGACCGAGGAGGGCCCTTCCTCCTGATATATTCTGGACCAGTGCTGGTGAACCTATGGCATGGGTGCCCCAGTGGGCATGCAGACGCCTCCCTGTTGGCATCCGAGCCAAGTCCCCAGCATCACAGGGCGAGCCAAGCCTCAGATGTCCAGGCTTCACTGTACTGCTGGCACTTAGAAGCAAGTAAGTGGGTTTGGGGCTGCAGTTTAGGCACTTGGTCTGTGAAGGTTCGCCATCGCTGTTCTAGACACTGCTCATCGTTCAGCTCTCGGCTTACACGGAACCTCCTCAGAGTCCATGCCTAAACTGGTCACCAAGTTACCCCCCTGGTTTTTAGTTTTCTGCCTCCAAAAAATGCTTATCATCATCCGATGTTTTCTTGTTTGCTCTTCTGCAGTTGTTTTCTTGCTCCATTCATTCATCGGTTTGGTACCACAGTATTATTTATGACCAGTTCAGTGCCGGTTACTATCGTCAGTGCTGAGGAAACAGCAGGGAGGAAAGTCTCTAGAAAGGTGATGAGCAAATAAGTATGCGACACATCGGATGATGATAAAATTATATGAATAAAACAGCAGAGTGGAAGAGATAGAGCCATGAGGGGTGCTTTTTTTCCGGGAGTACCAGGGAAGCTCCTTGACTTGTGCTGTTCGGGTAGAACTCAAAATGCACATTAACTCCAAGAGAACACAAACTCCTTCTTTTCATTCATCACAGTGTGGCCAGTGAATTGATTGATACCTGCCACACAGTAGGCGGATTACTAAATACTCACGCAATGAATAATTATGCATACCTCCTGCTCAGCACCTCTAACACTGCATTTACTGCTTTGGCTTCCTAACTGGGCTTCGGGGTTCACCAATAAGGAGTGCAGACTCTAACATGGGGTCTGAAATTGGAATGTTTGTTGGAGAACAGAGAAAGTGGGAATTATAATGAGTCAGACTGTCATAATACACTCAAAAACAGCCTGGAAACTTGCTTCAGAAGTTGATATATGCCTCTGTTACCCTGTCCTTATCTTGTGCTACTCCCTTGACCTAGCTGACTTTCCACCCTGTCTCAATCTTGTTTATCTCTGAGGAAAGGGTGCCTGTGGGACAGAAGTCACTCTTGAGGTGGGCCGGCCAAAACCTGCTGTATCTAAGACGGCTGCCAGAGTAACAAGACCATCTCTCACTTCATTACAATTCCATCTGCATGCTAAATGGCGCATCTGCCCCAGCACCATGACAGTTGACAATTGCCGTGACCATGACCAGAAAGAACCATAAAAGGAGGAAAGAGACGTGGTGCTTAAATTTTCAGGAAACCTTTGCTCATTACCAGAAAAGATCTGCTTATTCCTTCCCTTTACTAGCCTACTCCTTGCCCTCATTTCTCTTACCTTATATCTATGGTTTCCCAACAACCGTTAGAGTTGATTTGTCAATTTATCTTCCACTTCTGTTCTTGGCCAACAGTAAAATTATCTTTTACTGCTCAGTCTGTGCTCAGATTTGTTATTGCTTCCTCAATTCAAGAGAAGTAAAGAACCCAGTTTGGAGTCAGAAACTGGTGACAGTTCTAAGAAGCATGTGAATTTATTTCAACTAGTGAATGATACAGATGGTGAGACTCAGTGGTCTCTGAGTTGTTCGTGACCCTTTCATAAAACTAATTTCTTCCAAATCAAGGGTTGCAATATTTAAACAACGAAGAAAGGTCGGGTTTCTTCTAGTTACTTTCTTTTTACCGTGACCTGTTCCTGCTAGTTCAGGTTATTTATGGTATACATTAAGAAGTCGCAAAGACCTACAGAGCAAAAGGCCGTTCAATCTTGCAGACTCCCAGAAAGGTGGATTTGGGGACTAAGCAAAAACAGACTAGCCGAACTATCACCTTGGGCATTTCAGCACTTCCCTGTTTGAAAACACACGAGCATCTCAAGTGCTGCGAGACATGGGGATGATGACAAGCAAGGACACCCAGCACAGAAGAGGTCACCAGCAGTGTGCAGCAAAGTGCTCCCCGCGGCACCTCTGAGCCTCCTGCGTGCTCTGAGCAAATATGCTCACCCCTCCTCTAAAATAGCCCTTGAAAAGCCCTACAGAAAACTGAGCTCCAGCTCTACGTCTTCCTAGCCACTCAAGTGAAATGCAGTGATTATGCCAAACGTCAGAGCAGAAATCCCTTATTGTTCCTGGCCACCTGCGATTAACTTACACCGGGAAGCTTTTTCAAGCCTAGATCTAGGGAAAATGATGATGGCAAAAGCTGTTTATGGCCCTCCACATGCCTTCCCTCCTATGCTATTCCCTGCCTCTGTCAGTGTTCTGGGTGACAGGATCCAGGACATCGTCTCTGTTGTTTTACGCCCAACACACTTTTTGTATATTCTTAGCACCTGGCTACCATGTGGCTTTTTTAAAGCAAGATTTTGCTGAATTTTCTCCATCTTAGAGCTACTGGGGTTAGGGTCTCAATGTCCAAAAAGTAAAAATTAGGAGGCTGAGGTAGTGTTTCTTAAGTGCTGTTTCAAGAATTATTGGTGTTTCTAAAATTACTAAGCCCCAAAATTGTTCAGTGACCAAAGGAGTATTTTAAAAGCACTGCACGCTGCATATTGTTTACTTAGAAAGTCACAACATATATTGGAATATTTAAAAGAGTTAAAAAAATGGAATGTCCCAAATCATTTTCAGTTAGGAGTTAAATGCATTCAAGTACTTCACGGTTTAAGAGGTGACATTGACCTCTACATACTATTGTGAAAATATCTCCTCGCCCTCTGAAATAAAAACTGAGTCAAATTTCTGAGTGTGACTAATATCCTATTAAAAACTCAAATCCTATCTGTGTATATTTTTATATAACACAATAAAATGTATAAACATTCTAAATGGATGTATTCCAAATTACTAAGAGTGATAGCCTCTGGGGAATAGGATTGGGGGTAAGAGGTAGATTTGTTCTTTTTACTTTACAGATTTTGATATGATTTGAATTGTCTTATATCCCCTTTATAACTTTTATAATAAAATGATCAATTAAGAAACGGACAGAAAATGCAATAGTAAATGCATCCATTTAGCTTTAACTCAGCACTTCTCAAAAGCAGCTGCTCACCGAACCCCTGACCTGTGGACCACTCAGAAACAATGTGTGTGGCAAATTCTGAGGCTACTGTGCTCCAGACTCCTGATTTCCACCATCGGAAGGACGTTAGCCTTCTATAGCCGTCCAGAATGAGAGGAGAAGGTAGAAGGGACCTCAGCGACTGTCTTGCAGATAGCCCTTCCTCAGCTGTGATGCCAGCTGCCACCGTGCTTAGGTCATCGCAGAGGCAACAAGAGAGAATGCATGTTGAAAGTGTGGCCCAGTACCTGACACCTAGTTCGTGTGCAGAAAGTACTGCTATTGTTACCCTTACTACCACTCTTGATTTTAACATTATGAATGGCCAGTGGCCCAACGAGATCAGTAAATGATCATGCTGTCATCCCAGTAATGGCACTTCAAAACCGAGACACCAGGAAATATTAGGATAACTAATGAGAGGTCCAACTGGGAATAAAGGCCTGTTGGAACAAGTGGTTTTGTCCAGTGCAGACAGAGGGTAGGCTCACTTAAGGGGTCTCCTGAGCCCCAGGGACCACACACATGGAACAGGATCCAGAGTCAGATCTTTCTAATTCCATCTCCCAAAGTAGCTGCTGTATGTAATAGTGCCTTGGCCTGGGAGCTTTCTAACAAAAGTTACAGCTACCCAGATGGTATCTCACTCATCACTGGGATTCTATGGTGTGGGGTGGGTAGGCAGGGGTTCTCTTCCCTTGTAAAGATAAGAACGTTTCTTACTCTGTGTTTGCTCCGGCAGTTTATCAGGGCTGAGAGAGGGTCTGGAATCTAAGAGCTGATTCCCAAGGCCCTGTGCTCTAACCCTCCCCTTGCAGATACACGTGTGAGTATCCTGGTTTGGTTGCTATGTTGCCCTTCGCCCACCCGCTCCTTCTTTACATTTCTTCTTAGATGAGGCAGTTGCAAACTCACCTGTCACTGAATTGAATCTCTTCCCCATTCCTGACCCAGCTGATGGTAGGCCTTGGGTTGCCAATGGCCTCACAGTTTAGCAGCACGCTCAGTGTCCCGCTGGCCAGGACGACAGTCTGCCCAAGGTGGGTGACAACCTCAGAGGCAGAGAGCTGCTGAGCAGCTGAGATCTTCCGCAAGATGGTAGGCTTGCGGTGTGGCCTGCGAGAGCCGCCATTGGCCTCCCTGGAGGAGGTCCGCAAGGAGGTGCTGAAGCTAGACACGTGTTTGTGAGGGGCGGCCACTGGGGGGAACCTCTGCTCTGAGGGCTTAAGGAGCATATCCTGGTGCTCGAGGTGGCTGCGGAAGAGGTCCTGGGCCAGCTGGGCGACCAGGTGCTTGCTGTACAGGTCGCGCAGCTCCTCAGGCTGCTGGGAGAGGTTCCTGAGAATGTTGTCCAGGCGCTTCTGCTCAGCCACCAAGGTGAAAGGGAGGTGCAGAAGGGCCTGCTCGGCATTTGGATCCTCCTCTGAGGATGCGTTCCTTTCTGTGAAGTCTTGCAGCTCCCAGGAAGCCAGGAGCTCTTTGGGCCAGCCCCCGTGCTCCAGCAGCCGGGAGACAATATCATCATAGCGGCTCCCCACGTCAGGGGTTAGGCCCCACTTCTCAACCCTGCTGCTGTTGGAGAAGATCCCATTCTGGTGTTTGTGGCTCTGCAGGGCCTCCTTGGGGCTGGTCTTCCTCCCCGGAAGGACCTCTTCTTCGCTGGGTGGGCTCAGCGGCTGGGTCACGAGCTTGCGGTTACCCCCGATGAGCTTAATCACAAAGTGTTCCTGGGCAGGTCCTGCAGAGCAGGTATAGGTGCCGGCATCAGAGGGCCTGAGGCGGTGGATCTTCAGGTAGCCAAAATGGGCCACCGTGACGCGAGCAGAGCTGATGAGGTGCTGGCCGTCTTTCTCCCACGTGATGAGGGGCTTGTGGAACCTTCGTGTGTGGCATCGGAGCACCACGGCTGTCTTGGGCAGCAAGTAGGCGATTCCACCCATGACGAAGTGCAGTTTCCTCTGCCTGCGCATCTGGATATACACTTTCCGTGCAGCAGTGATTTGAGGGCTCTGCTTTGTGGACGGCTGCCCAGGCCCTGGGATGAGACCGGTGCCGGCCAGACCAAGAGAAGGAAGAGAAGAGGAAAGCCAAAGTGAGATGCAGCGACGAAAGGACGGGAGAACAAAGAGGACAACAGAGCAAGAGCTCTTCGGAGTTGTTTTTTGCCAGGATCGTCATTTACCGCTTTCCCCTCCCCCGCCATGCCCAGGAGCTGGCTTCCACCTGTGCACCACCAAGTGGCCACCACCATCAGGAAGCAGAGGACTGAGGCGGTGCAGCGCCCGCTGGGCCTGACGCCAGAGAAGCTGAGGCACGGCCATCTAGGTGGAGGGAGCCCGGGGGTCAGGCAGTTCCTCCCATTAAAAGCATTTAAAATAAGAAATCAACATTATAAAAAGGCAGAGGACACAGCGAAGGAGAACATCTTCCCTTAGATGTCTACCTTTAGGCCCTTGGAACTACCAGTCCTCATGGACACACTGAGCGGAGGCCTGCTGCGTGACAAGTTAACAGAACAAGTCTGTTCAGAGGAGTTTCAAAGCCCAGGGTGGATAACCTTAGACTCCGTCAGGAACAGGCTCCCTCCAGCTTGCAGATCTGTGTGTGCCAACCAGCGAACGCCGCCGTGGCCCTGACAAGCGCAATGGCTGAGGCCCCGCTCGTGATTTCCATCTCCCCGTCCCCAGAGCGCTGCATACTCACTTGCACATGCCGCCAGCATGCAGGGCCTGATGGAGGAGGAGAAAGGCAGGGGCGGGCACAGGGTAGAATTGACGACAGCGGAGACCCCGGTTTTCAGCACTTGCCGGCAAACGGCGCTTCGCGTCTGCGTGCCCTCCCCACAGCTTGTGGAACACTGGTGGAGAGAGAAAAGGCAAACACGTAGAACTCGGGGCCCCAGGCCTACGGGTTTTGTATGGACTCTCAAGCTCACCAAAATACGAGAAAAGTTGCTTGGAAAAGCAGTAACTATTGAAAGAGGGACAAATATTAATTATGCTGCAGCAACGTGGGACACCTGCCTGTCTTGTAGCACATTCTACTCTTAAATTTTTTTATTCTAAAGTTCCTTGTAGGCATTTTACCTGTTTTTATTTATGTAGCCTGCACTTTAGAGTTACAGAATCATAGAGTCCTAGGTTCAAATCCCAGCTCAGAATTTCACTAGTTAGCAAGTACTTACACTCTGAGACTATTTCTACTTATGTTAATCCAGGAATTAAATGCGATAATACATTCAAACTCTCTCCACAGAAATGACAGTACTAATCCCTTCCTTCTTCCTTCAAAGTAAGTAATATTTTAAGGCCTACAATTAGACAGATTTTTTGAATTTGCTTTGTTTGAGGAAAGGCACATGGTAGTTTCTAAACTCAAGGAACACTCATTCAAATGAGAAAAAACTCCAAATGCATTGTTAAGATGAAATAGAAGATTAAAGAAGTATAAATCAAGATGTCTATGAGATATCACTTTATATCATATTAAAAACAGATAATAAGTGTTGGTGAAGATGTGGAAAAATTAGTCTTTATACATTGGTGGTAGGAATGTAAATGATATCGGGCCCTTAGGAAACAGTTTAGTAGTTTATTGAAAAGTTAATTTACCATAGGACTCAGAGATTTTACTTCTAGGTATCTACCCAAAAGAAATGAAAACATACATGCAGATAAAGATTTGTATGTGAATGTTCATAGCAGTATTATTCTAGTAGCCCCACACTGAAAACAACCCAATATCCATCAACTGTTGAGTGGCTAAACAAAATAACGTATATTTTATATGACAGAATACTATTTAGCCATTAAAAGGAATGTAATTCTTATGACTAATACTGCTACAGGCTGTGATTGCAGGTGTGTACTACCACACCCCACTCAAATGTTTGGATTTTGAGATTCAAAAGTAAATTCCTAGGAAGGGGGCAAAACGGGAGAGTGGTGGGATCAGCAGCAAAATTCACCTTGTCTGAGATCTGGAATCCAGGCAGTAGAAAATAACAACTTGGCAAAGAAAAAAGAAATAGATTGCTGAGAAATGGGAAGGACAAGAAAATTAGGGGCACAAACCATGGCCCACAATGTAGAGAGACAACCAAAACAATCTGGACCCCCTCCCCAGCTTGCAGTTCATGGGGAGAGGAACTTGACTCCCTAGAAATACTGTTAGTGCCCAGGACTGGGAGATCCAGGGAGAAATGGCAGTGGAGCCCATGGCTATAGTGAACTGGAAAAGCAGCACAGGATTTTGATCCAAGGGAGTCCTTCCACCTGGAAGGTTAACAGCTAGAGAGAGATTCCAGTCTGGGTGACCACCATATTTCCAGAGAGTACTTAATCAGGTGCTTAATCATTTATCAGCACTTAATCATTTTGGGAAGGCATTGATTTAGGACTCAGAATTAGATGGGACTCAGAAAAACTTGAAACAATTATACTTCAGAGCTCTCAGAGTTGCCCTCCCACAGTGACTGGGTGAGAGACAGCCACAGGAGACAGGTATGGATGGGAAGTAGGCTAGAAAGAAATCGCCCTGAGAAATTTAAGCCCAGGCCAGGAAGGCCACCTTTACCAGCTTCCCCCCTCCATGGTGAATGGGCAGGTCCAGTTGTGTTGTGCTCAGAAATGTCTGGGTTTGAAAGAGCCAGCATTAAATATTTGAAGCCTTGCCCTGCTGTCTACATCTAGCTCAGATCTGAGGTCCTATTGCTTTCCCTATCTACCAGTGTAAGAAAGTGCACATCACAGTGGGGACTTTGCCACAGCCTGGGATAAACAGTGCGGCCTCTAGAATAGTGGGGGCACTGCACAGACCCATAGGCTGGAAGGCTAGGTGGAGAAAACTGTCTTGTTTTACTCTAAGACTGCAGCTCCTGGAAGGAAACCACTTAATGAAAAATACAGAGAATTTCTTTTTTCTATGTTTAGACTCATTTTCTCCGTTTTTTCCCTCCTTCTTTCTTTTTCACTGGCTTATTGGAGCTTGGGGAATTTTATTTTGTCCTTTTCCCCCCTTCTTTTTCACACTCCTTTTCTTCTTTTCTTTTTCCTTTTAATTTTTCTATTTTTATCTTTGGGCCTTTTTTTTTTTTCCTTCTTTTTCACACTCCTTTTCTTCTTTTCTTTTTCCTTTTAATTTTTCTATTTTTATTCTTTCTATTTTTTTCTTTTATCTTCTATTTCTCATTGTTTTCTTCCTGTTGCCTTTATCTAATTTATAAATATTTGTCTACTCCTTAGTAAGATCATTTGTATGACTTTTACATCCTCCTAGTTCTCATTTTTCTTCTGACATTCTCCCATTCCCAACCTTATATATCTTTAATAGCATAAGCATTAAGTTTTATTAATCTTTAGATAGTTAACTCTATGTTACTACTGTTGAATTATTTTCTACCATTATTGGATTTATTGTTCTTTCATTTAGTGAATATTTGTTGAATGTCAACATTTGGTGATGGAGACCACTACAAAGCAGCTCTGAGCAGGACTTAAATTAACCAACTGGCTTTTCATGTTTACTTATGAGTCTGTCCAAGGCCTAGGCTCCTTGTCTGGAGATGGGTGGTGGACTCATAGTAAGTGAATGCAGTGAGTCACCGATCCCTCCTGAGGCCTGTAATGCCAGATGAAGGCAGAAAGCCTCAAGGATAAGACAAGATCACAGCCAAGGACATCTGGATCCAACCTCAACTAGATTGCAGCCTCAGGCATCTCATTCCTGGGTGGATTAACTTCATACCTTATTTGGAGAAGTCCTTGAGTGTTTTGATCCTTCTTGAGTACTCCCCTCCCTTCTTTTGATAACTAAATAAATACAGGCCATCCAGAGAAGGTCTTGTTCTTAGCTGTAAGAGAATCTTGAATTTTGTGAGAGGGCTTTGATCCTCCTGGAGTCCTGAAATCACTCCATTTGCCTCTTTTTATTTAGCCTGCACTGTACACTCATTTGGGAGATGGTGAGTCTGATCAGTCTGCAATAACTAAGGGATATTATTAACCTAATAATTTGGTTTGTCTTAGTGTTTATAGTATAATTACATGTTTCTTTTCTAAAGTTAAGGGTGATACAGTATTAGTTCTTATGGCATGTAAATATACAGTTTGTCTTGGACAATATTACTTTTGTTGATTTACTTGATATTGCCAGGGCTGCATAGTTGTTGTTATTAGTAGGTTTTTCCTGCCAATACCCAGATTACCTTTGTAACATTAAAAATACTGTGGTTCATTCCCAAAGAAAACTGTGTGTTGGGCCAATTACACTGCATCCCTCCCTCCCAAAGTAACAGAAGGCAAAAGGCTAGAAAGAAATCCCCCTGCTCTGTTAGTTAGCCATGGTCTAAGTGCATAGTTGAAGAGCAGATTAATTAAAGAGTTCTCCATATGAGCAACAAACTCTTTCCATTATAGGTGACTGCAAACCTAAGCACAAAACAAACAAACACAGAACCACAGAAACAGAAGAAGACAAGGCAACAAAATGCCTGCCCAAACTCCTAGCTCTTTCAAAACTGATTCATGGGGTATCGAGGGAGAGGAAAGCAAAAGCCACATAGCTGAATCACTTGAAATGATAACAGGGGAGTTTAGAAGAACAGATAATAAATGGGTGCATAGAAAATACAACTAATCAGATAAGGGACTTAATAAACAAATCAATCAGGGAGTTTATAGACTACACTAATAAAAATCTAGATGAGCAAACAAAATGATGCAAAATATGAATGACTGGTTTAATGGAAAATTAGAGTCCAAGAAAATGTTTCAAATAAAAATCCAGAAAGTTAAAAATTGTATAGGATGTATGGGCAGCAGAAGTGGCCAATGCAAGGATCAGAATACCAAAATTAGAAGACAGGGATGCTGTCAGAGATCAGAGATACCTTAAAAACAACAAGGAAACATAAAAAATGGATCCAACAGCTACTAGATACAAAGAAAACTAATCTAAGATTAATTGGAATAAATGAAAAGCCAGAAGGTAGCCCAAAGGACTTAAAAATCTATATACAGAAATAATAGCAGAAAACTTTCCAAATATTGGGAAAGAATTAAATATACAGATAAGTAGGTCATGTAGAACCCCAAATAGACATGATAAAATGAGAATCTTTCTATTGCACATTCTAATCAAACTTCCAGAAGTCCAGTACAGGGATAGAATCTTAAAACCTATTAGAGAAAAGCAATGAATCACTTCTAAAGGTTATTCTTGAAGAAGAACATAGCAGACTTCTCAGCACAAACTTTAAAGGCCAGGAGAGGTTGGAGTGAAGTGTTCAAAGCCCTAAAAAATCAACTTCCCACCTGGACTGATAAATCTGATAAAACTTTAAAGTTGACAGTGAAATAAGGTATTTCCATGATAAACACCACCTCAAGAGACTCATGAGCAGCAAACCAATACTATAAAGAAATTTTAAGACTATCTTAGAAAGAGACAATAAAGCCAACAATGCCAAAAATTCTGATAGCATGAATACAGCAGGCAGGGTGAACAGTTAAGCAGAAAGGATGAGGAATCAGCAATAGAAAAACAATGCAGGACAGTAATATGTCAGTACCTTTCAGTAACCTTCAGTATGAATGGTCTCACTTCCCCAATCAAGACACAGGTTGGCAGAATAGACCAGGATACAAAACTCAATAATCTGCAGTATCCAAGAGACATTTAATTCAAAAGTACACAGATTATAAATCAAAGGATGGAAAGCAATATTCCGTACAATAAGGACCACGACAAATGCAAGAGCAGCTATTTTAAATTTCAAATAAAGTGAATTTTAATCCAAAACTGATCAGAAGGGGCAAAGAAGGTCAGTACATATTGGTAAAGGGAGGAATTCAACAA